AGGAAAATTTAAAACATATAGTGAAGAATTATGAGACTGATAATATAAAACAATTACTAGGATATTTTTGAATATTTTTCGGGAATAATTATAGCACATACCATTTCATGGTTGAGTTCGACCTTTCCACTCAGCCAGCAGAGTTTTGACGCTGTTCACGCGATTACGGAGACTAAGGAAAATATAGACAAGCATACCATGTAAGATTGTATCTATTCTTAGAAGACAATAGGTATTTATATTTTGTCAGTGCATTTCGTCTGCAAGTGTAAACGAGAGCGATTCTCAATCTGGGGGAGGAGGTACTCTGTGTTATTCGGAGATAGATATCTTGCGTCATTATTATGATATGGGAAATTTATTGCCAAAACAATTTCCTCTGAGTAATTCAATGAATTCTGAAACATTTACATTCAACTTATTTATGGTTAATACTATCTCTGTAAATAATAGGACGATATACATTGGACTAATAAATTTGGGAAATTATTATTTATATAATATAATAAATATGGACTCAATGCACGGTCAATATGCATTTATAATGACGCAGAATGACAGATATTGACCTCAGATACATGAAGTATATCCACCTCGGGCTAGCGCCCTCGGTCGATATACTACATGTATCTTCGGTCAATATCTGTCATCCTGGGTCATTATAAATGCATATTGACCTACATCGAGTCCATATTTGTATAATAATGATAGTGTTGTCCACTAATATTTGAAATAATATCTGCTATGAAAAAGAAATCTATATAAAAAGCAGTAGAATAAATATGTTATAAATTACTAATTAATGTATAAAAATGAAATCCAGATGGTTAAATGCGCTAGCTTAGTGAACTTTACATGGTGATAAAAATTAAAATGTGGTTATCTATGATTCGGATTGTCTTTCCTTAAAGGAATTTCATTTAAAATCATTCAAGTATGCTTTTTTGTCTACCTCTAATCTAAGAAATCCGCGTTGGCTCTGCTAAAAACTTGTGTTGATTATATGAACTTTTGAGAATGAAAAATGTTCATTATCCTCATATTCCTACATGTTTAGTTCTTACCAGGTGACTGTTGCATGGCACTTTCATTTTGTGATGTGTTCACCTTTTTGCGCTGACACGATCGTATTTTGTGGCTCAATTTATATTTATCAAGCGTTACCAAAAACCTTATTGAGCAATGCTGCACATTTTTGTTTGTCTCCAACGCTCTATGATTCCACATTATTGAAAAATTTTAAAGTAATTGTACGGTTAACATATCAATTGATAACTTATAAAAAATGAGATACATGTACATCTGATTGCACGAATAAATTTTTAATTCTACAAGTCATCCGATAGTCATTCAAAGTTTAAACAAATAAGCCCTAGCTGTGAAATAACGTATCAATTTATCTTCAATGAATCCTTATTAAAAAAATGACAACAGTATGATTAATATCGACAGCACAAAAATAAAGGTATATTTATTATATTTTTAAAATTGCATAAAAAGACAGATGTTTTTTTTTTTTATTGAAATTGGTTTCATTTCGCTTAATAGAAAATATGTAAATAAGGAGATCATGAACAGCATTTGTGCTCAAAAGTTCATTGAAACAATAAAGATTGAGAGCAGAGCAAACACGGACCTCTTAAGGCCAAGATGTAGTAAATAACTTTAGACTAATTTTTTGGTGCTAGATCCATTATGACGTCATAATCAATTTCAACTTTCTTTTTCCCGTAATTTACGGCTTTAGCATAATTATGTAGAAAATAGAGGATTTTCATGACATTTAATTTGAAATCATATGAAAAGTAAACCGGATACCTATATTTATTTTGATATTGATTTAAAGAAGAGGCCATGAACATAGTGATTTCCGTTTTCTAAGAGACTGTAGGCAATCTGGATACATTTCCTTTGTCGAATATGAAAAAAAACTCCCAAATTCATGACTGGTTTTCTTAATTTTTCATTGAAAATGACAGTTTAAAATACAGTTTTTCATCTTGTTTCCTACAAATTATGCCCCGAAACACATTATTTGACCAAGCTAAAGTTGTAAGGCATCAATAAAGGAATTTATTTCTCAAGTTTGATAAATCCGTAGGCACCTTTCATTTACCAGATCTTGACCTTAAACATCAGGGGTGGGATCAGGTGCCATGGAGGAGTAAGCATCTGGGTCTCACCCTGTGTGAGGTGCTTGTATTGATCGGGCAAACAGAAACATCCGTAGACAATTCACAGTGTAAACAAACGCCTAACAATTTGTATGAATAACTCCGGCCAGCATTCGACTTTATGGTAGATTAATCAATGTATTTCTGACAAGGTCATTATATCGACCGTCAACTTTCAAACGTTGGCTTTAAATGAGACTGTAGATACACCTTATCATCAACTTGTTTGTCAATATCTTGCCTCATTGACTGAATTTGTATGTAAATCAGGCTTTGGGTATCGTATCAACTGTGAGAAATAAATTTATTTTGTAGATCACTTATAACAAGTTGATTTTACAAGAGTGTTAACAACTTACTATTTAGTTTGCTGTATTGTTGAAATATAATATTTAAGCCAAAAATATTTAAATTTAAAGATTGACTGGAAGTGTAAATGACAGTTTTTAAATGCTTTGATTTTTAAATTTCTTAAAATATTCAACATTTTGTACAATTCAGAAATAAGATGTTTCTTAAAAGATTTAATCATTTAAACAAGGTTTTTCTGTATTTAAATAACCATTAATAAATACAAAAAAATATATGAAATAAAAATTAAGATATAATCAACAAAACGCCTCATTATCACCTGCACAGCCAAAATAACAAATGATCGTTAAATAAGAAGATAAAACAATAAATTTCTTTTAAATCAGGCTAAATTCATACAAATTATCAACAAAGTTTAATGCCTATTTGACTTTTAACTGCTTGTTTAGAAACATATTTTGTTAAATATGAGATAACGGATATTTGTGTTGCAAATGTCCTGTCATTTTGCCCACTACGACTTAATTATTTATCGTCCATTTTGCTATTGCATTTTTAAGTGTGAGGTGTATCCAGCAGCTAGGCGTAAAAGTGTCTGGATATCTCTGTCAAGTCCAGAAACAAGACATGCATGTAAAAATAATTATCTAACACAATTTATTAAATAGAAATACAATATAATTGTTGCTACTTTTAACACGTAATTTTTAAAATGCATTAATTGTTTTTCATATTCTGTTTCATTATCGCATACTTAATCGACCCATCGAGCTCAAAGTGGTACAGCGGAGAAGGTATTTGGAATGCCTCACCCTTTATTGTTACACAATAAAGATTTTTAAACGCTTGAACATGTTGAAGGTTTCGACTTTTGAAAATCAAATTATTAAAATCATATGATTATAGGGGCAAAGTTCATGATTTTATCAGGGAGACACTAAATAAGTGTCAAATCAAAATAAGCAGGTGCACAATGGCGTTATGTAATAATGAAACTGTGAAAGTATCATTTTTCATTCAGTGGTATCGGACAGTTGCAGATAAGAGATGGATACCCTTCACTATTAACATTATAGAAAGAATGACAAGGATTTTACCATTATAATCATAAGGGAGTCGGGGGGATAGGAGTGGTTTATTATTTAGTGAGCTCAGTGCTCACTGTACCTGTAGTTTCTGTTAGGACCATTATCCACAAATTTATGTATCCTCGAAACTGCAATTTTTACTTAATCCACGAAAAGTGATGCGCACAAATATTAATGAAACTACAATGTGATCTGTTGGGATGGATCTAGCTCACGAGGTCTATTAATGTTCTGTTGAGGTGGAATTACAATTTTTAGAGTGTTTTTTTCTCTCTCGGGAGGATTTCCTTCTCCATCAGATTGCAATGCTTTCACAAATATACACGAAAAAACAAAACCAACAATGTTAGAGATACACATAGTAATGGAGAGTATAAATGCTACAATGTCCCACTTCAGGTTTCTCTTAACAGCACACGTTTAATCTTCATCGCCGGTACAAATCAGTATGACCCAGAAGATGGGGGCAAAACAGAGTCCTGTAGCTACAACATTTATCCCTAAGCTCAGCCCGTTTATCACTCTGTAAACAGTTACCTGTTCAAAAGAAAATGTGTATATTATAATTGATATAGCCATTCGTAAAATTGTAAGAAATTGCATTTTTATTTTGAAGAAAAGTATCTCAAACTAGTAAAGGATGACACAAAAGGAGACTTTTGGCAGAACATAAAATAAAATTTTGTTACTTACTCTCTTGATCAATTTCGAAGATGGTAGATTTCTATTATTAATATCCATCTTAGAGACAAAATTACACGATAGACCATTGAGCAAAAGCTACAAATAAAATTTAAAAATTATCTTTAACAGAAACATTTTTTTTTCATAAACAAGTCCAGGACCTCATTTATTGTAGATAAAACTTTATGATACATTTGTATACTATGGCAAATTTTATTGCATTATTAATTTTTTATCATTATAGTTATTACGTTATCTCCATATATTTCATATTATCAGATTATACTTCATTACAATGTATATTAATTAAAATATTACCACTGCTCCCGACCATATTAGAGCGCCTGTGTCCACTGAGAAACTAAAAATTCGGTCTAAATTGACAACCATTACAATTCCAAAGACGATGCTACCTGCTGAAAGTCCTATCAAAACAATGGACATCCTAAAGAAATGTTCTGCAGCTTTTTGTCGTTTACGCGCATGTTCATCTGAAAAAAAGATATTTCTTTTATTCAACAGAAACATTTCAAATCTCTGTTTTGATTACCTTAATAGCTCCTCTACTCTAAAGAAATCTGTATTGGCTCTGCTTAAAATTTGAGTTGATTACGTGAACTTTTGAGAATGATCATTGTTCCTCATCTGCACATTACTACATTTTTAGTTCTTACCAGACGACTGTTGAGTATCACTTTCGTTTTGTGCTGTTTTCACCATTTTGTGTTGATACTATCAAAACTTTTGGCACAATATATTTATCAAGCGTTACCAAGACCTTATTGAGTAATTAACTGCGCAGTTTAAAACATTTTGATTGACAGTGTAGTTCTGTATACATTTAAATCATACGAATAGAAATGGAGAACGAAGGTTTTTCATAAACTGGTGATAATGGTGGTTTTGTCATTTTGAATGGTTTTAAATCCATAATATAGCATATACTGATGTTTTTATTTTACAAAAGTAATGAAAGTAATGGCAAATGATTGCATGAACAAAGTGTCGTTGAAAAAACGAAAGAATTGGTAGTATGGGCAGCGGAAAGGGCAAAAATTACTATAATGAGAAAACAAACAATTATTTTAATTTCAATGACCATAAAAAGTTAACAAATGATATACAATGCATAATCAACAGACCTTATACATTAAAGCAAAACCAACGACCACGTACGTAACAAACATATATGAATGCAAAACCAACGATCATCTTTGCAGTAGAAGCGTACAAGCGTACATAAAAACACGAAAAAAGAAACAAGAGGCCCATGGGCCTTATAGGTCACCTGAGTATCATGCGACAACTTTCCAACAACTGAATTTGATTCATGTTTTAAACTAGAGGCCATGAAATTCATAATTTTGAAACAGGCACCATTGCTTATCATAATTATACACTCAGCATGCTTATTTTGGTTATTTAATACCCAGAGGTAGATCAGAGTAACAAAGAGAAAATGCATTTCTACTTTTAGTGAATTTCAGGGCCCCTGGGTCAGGGCTTCTTGTGTTATGGCAGGTCCACAGTTGAGCTCCCCATTCCACAGGAATCACTGACCCTGGGGCCACATCTTTCAAAATTTTGGAATTTTTTAAAAAATTTATTTCATCATGCTGTTGATTAATACCAAAGTGCAGATTTCAAAGCATTAAATTATTTCAGACTATGCCCCCCCCCCCCAAAGTACCTCTGTCCCAGGGGACAGGAAATTAACCATTTTTGGAAGAAGCAGATTTTGTCATAAATATATACCAAGATCATTGGCATTATACCAAACAACAAAGGAAAAGACTTTTAAAGAATTCATGCATTTTCACTATATAAACATTAGAGCCCCACCCTAACACAAGAAGCCCTAACCCAGGGACCCTGAAATTCAAAAATCTCAAAGAGGCATCCTTCATCCTCATAACTATGTACATAGCTCATTGGTTTAATACTCAGGTGCAGAAAAGAAGAGTTTTAAAGATTTTATGCATTTTCATTATATAATCAATAAAGCCCCACCCTAACACCAGAACCCCCAACCCAGGGGCCATTAAATTCACAATTTTGGAAGAGGTAGCCTTATTCAACATAACTATGTCCTTGGTTAGTTTATTTAATACTCAGGAGCCAAGAAGATTTTCAAAGAAATAATTCAGTTTTTACTATATAATCTATACCGCCCCGCCCTAGCACTAGAACCCCTGACCCTGGGGCCATGAAATTCACCATTTTGGAAGAGGAAGCCTTATTCAACATAGATATGCACGTGGTTAGTTTATTTAATGTCCATGAACAGAGAAAAAGAAGTTTAAAGAATTTTTGCATTTTCACTATATAATCTACATAGCCCCGCCTTAACACTAGAACCCCTGACCCTGGGGCCATTAAATTCACAATTTGAGAAGAAGCAGTCTAATTCAACATAACTATGCACTTGGTTAGTTTATTTAATGCCCACAAACAGAAAAGAAGAATTGCAAGAAATTTATGCATTTTCACTGTATAATCTATATAGCCCCACCCTGGAATATAGAACCCCTGACTCTGGGGCCATGAAATTCACAATTTTGGAAGAGGCGGTTATTTTCAACTTACCTTTGCACTTGGTTAGTTTATTTAATGCCCAGGAGCAGACAGGAAGAATTTCAAAGAAATAATGCATTTTCACTATATAACCTGTTTAGCCCCACCCTATCACTAGAACCCCTGACCCCAGGGCCATGAATTTCACAATTTTTGTAGAGGACTCAATGCTGATTATAATCATACCAACAGTTTGACTGCTTGATGTCCAGGAGTAAAGAAGAAGATTTTTAAAGATTGCACTAATTTTAGTGGTTTTTGCCCCATCCCTCAGGCCCCTGGGGTGGCGGGGACCCTGAAATTCACAATCTTTGTTCCCCTTCACCCATAGCTGCTATATGCCAAATTTGGTTGAAATTGGCTCAGTGGTTTCAGAGAAGAAGCTAAAAATGTTCAAATGTTAACGCACGACGAACGACGCACGACGCACGACGACGGACGAAAACAGATAGCAATAGGTCACCTGAGTTTACTCAGGTGACCTAAAAAAACTTAACAAACGTGCAAGCGGTAAATGTAGTTTTCCCGGCTCCCGACGGTCCGTTTTTTTGTCGGCGCACAGAAACTCTTCACACTTCTCAGGCACATTCCAAGGTTTAAAAAAATACATTAATATATAAAAACTTAAACAAATTTGCGTGTTTATTATTGAATCAGCAGTATCATCTGCCAAAGAAAGCAGTAAATCTAGTACTCATGCAGCTATAAATGCGAAAACCACTGAGAAAAGGATACCGATGTTTTCGTAGAATCGCGATGAAAAACAAAAAACTGAGGTATTTTTTTTTTTTTTGAATAAATGAAAACCCTCATTTACATGCCAGATAATTTTTATGCACAAAAATTCCCCCACATGTTTTTGTATAGAACTCTTTGCCACATCATGTTTATGTTCCCATGCTCTACAACATGGACGTGGTTCTACCTCGGATCCCCCTTGAATTTTTTCCCTTTTTTTGTTAATTTATCTTAAAAATTTCAAATGAAATGAAAGAAAAGAATTGACATAAAATGAAAAAAAATATCTCATTCTCCTGAAGGCTATTTCGTCTTTTTTGTTACATAAATTGGTTTTCCACAATTCTTTAAATATTACAAAAATCTATTATAATAATTTTACATTACAGTGACATATCATTGACAGGCACGTAGCAATATTTCCCAATTATTAAAGAGTAAGGTCAAAAAGGGTTATGTAGTACATGTATATTAGGAACAAAATTGGTACTGAAAGAAGTTGAACCTAACAGCACCCTTCCACACACACCCTCACTAACACGAAATAGGATTTTCGAGTTTGGGCTATTTCATTTTAATTTCCTTTTTGTTTTTGCCTCTCAAGTTTTTAAAATCTTTTTTCAGCTAGATTGAATTTTTTTCTCAGGTTACCCCCTCCTTCAAAATTGGTAATATTTGAAACATTGTCGTCTTTTGTTCGGAGATGGTCATACAATGTAAGTGAACCTCTCTCTTTATGATATTTTCCCTGAAATTCTAGTATTGGAATCCATTTATTAACAATCTTTATTCAGGAATAGGCATGATGCAATGTACATTGATATGTGAGTATTATACACATTTAAAACTTTAAAATAGAATAACATGATTTAAGAGATGAATTATGAAACGAATCAACTAATAAATCTTATTGTGAATATAAATCAAATAAATGTATTATATTGAATATGCCTAAGCCCAAGGTTAGCCCATGAAAGCCAGCAAGGCTAATTTCCAATGGGGTCCTTTTACATGTAACAAAATCACATGTATAATATGTTTTATTATACATTTAACATGAACAATAAAAAGTATACTTGCAATAAACAAGATAGCTTAAAATTCGAATTATACTTAATTTGCAAAAGCATCTAAAATACAAGTTCTTAATTGTATACGAAGGGAGAACAGCGGGGTAATAAATCATAAATATAATGCAGCAAATAAAACATGGAAACCTTTCAAACATATATTCTACAATACACTTATCAACAAAATTTGAAAATCTTCCAAATTCATTTACAATACACAAAAAATCACACATGAAAAAACTTATATACACAAAATACACAAATGCATATATACACATAAGAAAATATTTTACATCCTCTTTACATCCTGCCTACTACGCGCTTAAAAGCAAAATTTCCCATTGTTATCAACTTTATTTTTTTTTTCAGACCGTCTCCTTTCCATTTATGCCCAAAAATAACCCCATTCCACTATATAAACATCCAAAGTAATTTTTATAGAAAAAAAAACTCTATTTTTAAACTGGAACTACTTGCGTGGTCAATGAACTTGGGGTAAAATTAGTAGTCTGTTACAAAATAATGAACTTGGGAAAAAAAAGACACTACAGAGTCTGTTACATTTGTTTCAGATTTGGAAGTTTTACTAACTATAGACAATCTATGTAATATAACAATTAAAACGTGACAAACGTTATGACTTCAGCGTTTTTGGGTCAACTTTCCTTATTTATGTGGCAATATTTTGTAAGTTTTTGCGTATCTAATCAACTGAGAAATAAACAATGTAGACTACTGATAACAAGTTGATTCCACAAGGATAATTTACAATATCGTTTCCTGTATTGTTGAAATAAAATACTTAAAACAAAACATTAACACTTAAATATTGACTGGAAGTGTGAATGACAATTTATTTTTTTGTTTTTTTCTATTTCATAAATATTCAATATTTTATTCAATTCAGTAATGAAATATTTCTTACAAGATTTAATCATTTACATCAGGTTAATTGTGAATAAATACAAACTAAATGTACAAAATAGTATTAAAATTTTATCAACAAAAAACATGTTTACTGGTGGAGCTGTATTTTGAAGTCAATAACAACAGTGAACTTAGATACAAAATTGTATGTAAATGACTACTAGGACTTAGTCAGTTGGATGGGCGACTGGTAACCCCGCGGTATATATTTTAATTTACACTCTATTATCTTATAATGCCAAATTGCTCGGACAATGATGCGCTAATTCATGAATACCGAAAAGAAATTATTTATACCTGGTGATTTAGTATGTTACGCCAATTTATTATCACGCACAGTAATAAGATGGAGGTGGGTCAGTAGGCGTATTGAAAATATTGACCTCTCGTGCCTTAAAGCCATAAGCCGAAGGCAACATATTCTGTGATCTACATAATCTATATTCTTTATT